TTGTCCAGGTGCAATGGTTTAAATACATCTCTGACAAAGAGGAATAGCAAACATAAATAAAAGACATCAAATTTAGTCTGTATTCTGCCTAAACTCCTTTCTTGACAATGAAGGAGTCTGTTATTATATATAGCTAAGGGTATTGGTAACAAAAAAATAGCACCAGGAGAGGGAAGGACTTTAGTTTCGCTTTTCCACCAACTTGTATGATTATGTCTGAGTCATTTCATTTCTTTGGGCCTCTGTTTCCTCATCTGTAAAATATGAGGGTTGAACTAGATGGTTGCTAAAGTCTCTTTGACCTTCAAGGTTCTGTGATTAAATTGACCACGGTAATGAAGGATCTCCCACTCTTTAAACCTAAAGTATATATGGTGCAGTATCATCAAAATTCAGAATTGGGAGTCAAGAAACTGGGAATAAATTTCTGACTTTTCTTGGCTTTCAAGGCTCTCTATTCAAAGTCTAGGACCATCCTACCTTTCCTTGCTTCCTTATTCCATTATATTCTATTCTCCAGCCAGATTCTAGAGTATTCTCTGCCCCTGAAACATATATCTTGTATTGTTGTCTCTGTATCTTTGCTAGTACTATACCCTTTGCCCAGAATGCTCTTCTTTACTTTTGTCATTGGTTAAATTCCTATCCCTCTTTTAAATCTCAATTCAAATACCACTCAAGCACTTAGTGTACCTCTCTATTCTACTTGTCACATGACATTTTATATTATAGCTATTGGTGTTTTTGTTTTATTCTCTTACCTGAATATTAGGTTTTTTTTAAAAAATTCAACAAATGTTTATTAAGCACCAATTACATACAAATATCTGTTAGGCTTTGGGAAAATAAAGACAGAAATTTTTTCCCCCCACTTAATCTGTTAGTACTAAGAACATGTCCTGGAACAAGACACTTCATCTCCCACTTGTGAGCCTTTGCATTTATGGTCTTCCATACCTGGAATGCCTTACCCCCTTCACCCCTGTCTTCCTTTGAGGCTCAGCTCGTCTCATCTACTCCAGGAGGCCTTTCTAGGTCCCACAGCAATGATTACCTTCCCCTGTCAAAGTGCCTTCCTTTACTCTCTATTAGTTGTTCACATGTAGCCTTCCCCATTAGAATGTAAGTTCCTTGAGGGCAGGGACTGTGTTGCCTTTCTTTGTATTTCCAGCACTTAGCATAGTGCCTGACTTGTATGAGTGCTCAGTTATTGCTTATTGACTTAACATACTTGAGGGCCGCAACATGTCCTATTGAAACATGGCCTGTTGGTATCTTTGGTACCTGCATTGCGTGATATTCTGCACACAGTGGGTACTTATAAATTAACTACTGAATGACTTTGACTCAAATCCTGTCTCCTCTGTTTATATCCATATGATACTGGGCAAATGACTCTAATCATTCTGTTTCTCTGTTTCTCAGTTTTCTAAAAGCCTGTAAAATGAGTAGGTTGAATGACATAATTGCTGAGGTCCCTCCCATCTCTACCATTCTATGTTGTAACATTTTGAGCTGGAAGGTCCTTCTGTGCTCTAAGCTTCCTTTCAGCTCTGATTTTCTGTTTTGACATTCAGCATTCTCTGGTGCTACTTTTCACAAAGTGAAGCCTTGTGTAATTGAGGGCCCACTTACAGAATCATAAGATTGAGAGTTGGAAGGGACTTTGGAAGCCATCTGGTCCAGACTAATTTTATGGTTGAAGAAACTGAGATTCAGGGGAGTTAAGTGCCTCCTCATGGTCATACAGCTAATAAGCATCAGGAGTAAGGTTGGACCATTGGTCTTCCAGGCTTTATATCTAGAACTCTGTCCACTGTGCCAGGCTGCAGCATTCACCTTCCTGCCTGCCCTGCCCTTCCCTCTCCCCAGTCTCTCCTCTTTCATTAAGGTAACTTTCAGGAAAGCACAGCTCAGTTTTATAGAGACTCATCTAGGTGACTTGAGCTTAGATTTCAGGGGAAAGGTTGCCTGGATGAGTCAAGAGCTTAAGGTGAGAAGCACCTTTGTCTGTCTCTAATATTCCTTCACCCAAGAGTTGAAAGAACAACAGGGCAAGACAGATGCTTTGCAGGCAGCTGAAGGGAAGGCTTCCCTCGTTTAGAGCTATGAAGGGAAACCTGGACCTTGATGGGTGTAATTATGGTTAAAACCTGTATAATTAACTCTGAAAATTGGAGGCTTAGGAAGAATTAAAATAAATGCTTAGTGGAAATTTGAGAAGAGGGATGGGCTCAAAGCAGTGGCAGACCACTCTGCAGAAGGCCAGTGGAGCTTTCAAGAAAACAGGAGAGGAAAAAAGTTAGGTGGTGCTGTGTTGGTTCATGTTTATCCCTCTCCTCAAGACGTGTAGTGCCTTTCCTTGTACTGCAGATCAGGTTCAAGGTCGTCCTTTTCTATTGCAATGCTCTGGGCTGTGGTCCTCTAAACAAATCCACTTCCTTTGTCAGCTCTTTGGCCATGGTTGATCAGCTTCGAGTGATCATCATCTCTTCATCACCAGGTCTTTCCCCTTCTATTTGTCAGCTGCTCTTCTCTCCCATTATTCAAATACCTGATTCCTCAGGACGCCAAAAAGCTTTTGTGGCTTGACTAAATAAAGCCATGTTGAGTCTTGGTGGGTCACACCCTATCCAGAGTTGGAATTCTTGAAGGAGCATAGATTCAGTGCTAGAAGGGATCCCAGAACCATCTAGTTCAATTCACTTACCTTACAGATGAGGAAACTGAGGCCCAGGGTGATTATGACTTAACTCCAGGTCCCATAGGTAGTAAGCATCAGAAGTGGGATTTGAACACAGGTTTCCTAACTTCAGAACCAAAACCTTGCTATATGCCATGTTCCTATGCCTCTTCCTTCCCCTGAAATTCTCCCAAATTATGTGTTTATTCATGGCTACCACTCTGAAATTCATTCATTAATTTAATACACATTTGTTACATACCTATTATGTACTGGGGTGCTATGCTATTTGTTCCAGGATATAAATATAAGACATGGTCCCTGCCTTTAAGGAGCTTTACATGGGGATAATACATTCAGTAAATTCCTTAAGCATTATTTTAGCCTCTACTATTTGGAAGAGATGTTATCCTTCCTGGCCACTCTCTACACCCCTCTGGTGTGAGGGCTTGGCAAGCTCTTTTCAGGGCTGCTCACTTACTTTTGGTGTGTGTCTGTCACCCAGATTTTACCTGTAGCTCCAAGAAGTTGCAGCATGTGCAGTGGCCACACCCTGGGAGAACTGTCTTGGCAAATGGGCTAACCCACGTTGAGGGTAGTTGGTGAGTGATTAGAGGAATGTCTACCCCAATCATGTGAAGACTTGCCCCAGCGACATTGACTTTGAAGATTTCTATCCTCAGATTGTAAGGTCAAGTCAACAAGCACTTATTAAATGCCTACTGCGTGCCAAGCACTGGGCTGTGCTGTGTCAAGTACAAGGAAGAACTCTCTGTTCCCAGTGACACTGATTTTGTTATTGTCTGCTCACTCCAATGGGCTGTGGCTACTGAAGGTCCCCTCTCTGTAGGCATCTCAGTGGCAGTAGTGACAGCTTCCACTTCTATGGTTTAGAAATTTACTTCAAACCAACAGTTAACAGTTAAGTCAGAAAATTTGACTGTGGAGTTCTGTTGCTTTGAAGGAAGGGATAAAGAGCAAAGGAGACATATTGAATCTTCATGAACAGTTGAGATGAGAGCTTGAAGGACAGAGGCTACACCCACATGGACATAGACCCTTCACAGTAACTGTGGAATTGCCATTGAGGACAACTACCTTGTGAGCTTGGAGTCAATCACCAATGTGAGAGATTGCAGAGTCTACTTCTTCCTAAAGCTAGGAAGAATGAGATCAAGGAAAGAACCAGTGGCATATTTCTAGACCCTTCTCCAAGCAACTCCTGGAACTCTCACGGGCCATGTTGCTTGAATCTAACCTCTGTGTGCTGTGTTCTTTTTTCTTTACATTTTATTTTTATTATTTTTTAAAAATTATTTTTATTCTCAAATCAAATACCCAAAAGAATGGTTATTGACTTATGCATAGTAGAATAAAGAGGATCGCATATGAAATTGGAATGCTCTATTCTGGACAGCATCTTTTTTTTTTTTTGAAGATCAACCTGTAGCTTTCAAAGCTGCTCTGCTTCTCTGGTGTGGTGTGCTGGGTTCTTAATAGAACTGAAGGAAACCATTCTCAACATTCTCTCATGGTGGACTTGCCAGACAAACTAGATGAGTCTCTTTTCTCCCCTTGTAATTCACCCATGAACAGCTTTTTAACTTTAAAGGAAAAAAAAAACTTTTCACGGGGTTAAAAAAAAAAAGGTAACTTCCTTGTGGTATGGTTTCACGTCTAAATACAGTAGTTAGTCCTTTCTGCTATTCCCATCCTTCCTACCTTGCCACCCACTTGGGAGTAAATTTTGAGATTAAAGAGAGGTTCTCCATGACTCATTCTCCTAGGCAGATGGGATGGCTACCACAGCTCCCACCCTGGTGGCTTCCCTGTGATGGCCTGGGATCTTCCCCTAAGGCCCTGGGTACTGTTGGGGTTTACCAACTTCCTTTCTAGTTTATTGTAATGAGTGACAACTGTCTAGTCTGACAGAAGCAATTCTTGGCTGTTGGTTTTTCAGCATGTTTAAATAGTTTAGGACTCTTGTGTCCATGTATTTATTTAGAAGGAATGTGGGGAATCTTGCTGACTCAATATAATTTTGTTGTTAACGGTGGTATTATGGTTGAAATCTACTGGATTAAACCTGGGGAAGGCATCCTTTGAATGAGAACCATTTCATCTGGCACAGCACAGAGTTTGGCTTTGATAAGGAAAAAATAAATAATGCAGTCTATATTTTTCACTTCAGTGCAGATTAGTGTTTGAAATAATGTATCTATTCATTGTGATGTTACTTCCTGGTTTATTTGAATCCAAGGCTATCTTAAATGATACTTGCAGGAACTAAATTTCAATTCTCTTCTTTCTCTCTTAGTTTCTATGTCTGAAGAACATTCGGACCTTCTTGAAAGTCTGCCATGATAAGTTTGGGTTACGGAACAGTGAGCTGTTTGATCCTTTTGACCTGTTTGATGTTCGAGATTTTGGGAAGGTAAGCTTTGTTTTTATCCATGGCCAGCAGCTCTGCTGGTTCATGCCAGGCTGATGGCTGTCACAGAATCACACAAGGTGAACCAAATAAACGTAGCAAGTTTGGGCAACTCTAAAACAAAGACATAGTTTGGGCAACTCTAAAACAAAAGCATGGCTTGTTTTCCCCATGCCTCAGGTGTCTGACAGGTGTAGACTAGGTTATGTTATGGAATAATTCAGAGGTCAAATTGTAGACATACAGAAATAAGAAAGCACATTTTAATTCAGAGAATATAAGACTTGTATGGAGTAATGAAGAGGGGAAAAAAGAGCCCCCCAAAAATATATGATGACTGCGATGTCAACAAATTCACCGTGAAGAGGCAACAAAACTCTGGTTAATTACCTTGGTTAATGTTGACACTTTACTTTCAAAGTTACAGGATGCATTCCTCCTTCCTGTTAATTAGTAAACTAATTTTTTTTTAGGTAATATAATCCATAAAGTGATTATTGCTTGTTGGGAAGTATCTGTGGTATCCAAACAACATTACCAATATATTTATAATATAATAATTTAGAATGAGTCTATGCATGTGCATTATGATAGGGCTGGGTCCTTGGTGGCTTTGAGTTGAAATTTAGGGCTTTGTTGACAGCTGATGGTGAGTAGGAAAAAAAGGGGAGGGGCATTTATTCCAATCTCAAATTTGGCTTCCTTCAAGACTCGGTGCAAAGTGCACCTTCTGCAAGAGGCCTTTCCTGGTCCTTCCAGCTGTTCCTGCCTTCCACTCTGAGATTACTTTCCATCTACTCTGTATATATTTTGTACGTGCCTATACATTTATGTGATGTCTCCTCAATTAGACTGTAAGCTTCTTGTGAGGGTAGGGACTGTGTCTGGCCTTTCTTTATATCCCTAGTGCTCAGCACAGTATGTGGCATATAGTAAAAACTTAATAAATGCTTGTCAACTGACTGATTGGTTGACCAAGGTCAACATTACTGAGACGTCTTGAGGATAAACTAGAACGCGATGCACAGTATCTCAGTTCTCTTGAAACAGTGACTTCCAGAGCTGTCCTTCAGACGCTTTTGCCCTTAGCAGGAAAATGATTAGGAGACAGAAGGCTGATTTGGAAGTTCATCATGAGTGGGAAGCCCCAAGTTATGGAAAGGCTTAGGCATCACTGGAAAACATGACATGGTTGATATTGCTCATTTTAAATTGATGGTGCGGTATCAGGGTTGTAATAGCTCTTTGATGGGTCCTGGGACCAGAGTCTTCAAGCACAGAACAAGTTTTTATGCTGCCTGTAATTCAGGCATTCGTAAGTCACTCGGTACTCTTAAGAATCCATGCATTTACTTTACATTTTCTCAAGCTCTGAGTCACCTACTGTAAGAAAGCACCCACTTTTCTCATTACCTGAAGAGAGAATTTCCACTGGCTGATGGGAAGTATTATAAGATATTTATTGCCTAATTTATTTTTAGACCATTATCAGAGACTAGCCTGTTTGAGGGAATCTGCTTTATGAATATGTGATTTATGAAATGCAAAAGGATTTTTGTTATTTGCAGCTATGAATGTTGCAAGGCCAGTATGCTGAGAGACTTCATATTACAGTGCTGCTCAGCATCACAGTAGCATAGATTTTAGTTCAAACCATCCCGTACAAGTCTGCTGTGGTCTGCGAGGTCTTTATAGATGAAGTCTCAAGCACTTCATGGGATCTTAATTCGGTGTTTAACACTTAACTCTTGAAAGTTGTTTCTTAGGTGGAACTTCTCTTCTTTCAACGGATTCAGATTACTTACTGAATAAAATAAAAACTCTTCACCTTGTTATTCAAAGCTCTCCATGATCTGGTTCCAACTTACCTTTTCAAGCTTATCTGCCATGACTTCCTTTCACAAATTGCATATTTAAGCTAATGGGCTACACACCACTTCCTCATCCTGTCTTCTCAGACCTCTCTTCTTTGCTGCATATTGGCTTTCATGCCTGGAATAATCAGCCTCTACTTTTCCAATCATTGGAATCCTTTTCTTTCTTCTAGTCCCAGCTCAGGGCTCACCTTTACATAAAACTTTCCCTGATGCCTATGCCCCCATCTTTAAATGATGAGACAGCTTGTTGTAGTGGATAAATATGAACTTAGAGGCAGAAGGACCTGGGCTTGAGTTCTGCTTCTGATACTTACTAGCTCTGTGACCATGGGCAAGTCAGTTAACCTCTCTATACCTCTGAGAACCTTTCCAGCTCCAAATCTATAGTGTTATAATGTGCCCCTCCTTAAATCGTTGCTATCACTTTGGACATTTCCTAAGCTCTTGTATTATATTTATGTGTGTATTTGTTTTATTACTCTAATAACTTGTGAGCTATTTGAGAGGAGGGGCTGGGCTTATTTCATCCTTGTACCCTCAGTGCTGACCACAGGTCCTACCCAGGGTTGGTGCTTCATTAGTAAGTGCTATGTGGCAAAGTGGATGAGTGTTGGGCCTGGTGTCAAAAGACACATCATCCTGAGTTTAAATCTGACACTTACTAGTTGTGTGACCCTGGCAGAGTCACTTAACCCTGTTTGCCTCAGTTTCCTCATCTGTAAAATGAGCTGGAGAAGGAAATGGCAAACTGCTCCAGTATCTTTGCCAAGAAAACTCCAAATGGGGTCATGGAGAGTTGGACACGGCTGAAAACGAATGGACACCAACAATGACAGCAACAACAATAACAACAACAACGTAAATGTTGGTGGAATGGAATTGCTGTGTAGGTGGGAGCCCCTTAGCTCACTGGCTGACCTCAGGAGGGAGGTGTGAATGTGCTGGGTCCTCATCTGCACATCTGTTGGGAGCTGCACCAGACTACAAGTTGAATGGAATCATGCTTCCCCTATTTTCCACAACCGGTTCTCATCATCACAAATAGTCTTGATTTAAAACAGATTTGGACCTCCCCCTTCAACTTTCCTCTTTGTGGTAGCAAATGGCGGGCCTGTCATGCAATGTCACCAGCAGGAGGTTATGTCTGCTTTGGAGAAAAGGCCTTAAAAGAAAAAAAAGCTTATTATTTAGAATAACTATACTGAGAAGACAGAAAACCTCGGCCAAGTACATTTTTTGGCCTGCAGTTAACATTCAGAGTATACAGTATATAATTTCATTTTGTTTTGAATTTGCTGCAGCCAAATGTAATGATGTAAGATGTACATAAATATGGATTAAAGTCTCATCCTATGACCAGCCAACTGTGTGGCTAAGAGGTTTGCAAATGTTAGTTACTCATTTTCAATAATTTGCAATGATTTGGTTCTGGCATTGGAGAGGATTTCAGTGCAGCCTGAGCGAGCCCCGCCCTCTGTGGTCAATGGCTGCATGTGTTATCTCATCTGCAGTCTTGTTCCCGAGGTGTCCTGATGGGAAGGAAGACTGCTACAAGTGATGGCAGGCTTCTGTTTGTCCCAGAGATGGGATTGATAGACGGGTTGTGACAAGATTCTAACATAATGCAATTCTGAGGCAAGAAGAGACTTAATGAGTCATGTCATCCCCTTCATCTCTGGATGGACTGTACCAGAACTGCCCCAGAAAGCACATGGGATCATAAGTTCAGAACTGAAAGGGACCATCTAGCTCATTTCCCATGTTTTTATAAATGAGGACCAGTGAGGCTAAGTGCCTTGTCCAAGGATATTAAATAAAACAGAGACAGAATTTGAATCCAAGTCTTCTGATTTCAAATCTAGTACTCTTTCCACAGAATTTAGAATTGAAGGGGACCTTAGAGATGATTGATTGTGATCCCTACTTCTCTCCTTTGAACAGGTGAGGGAACTGGGGCCCAGAGGAGAGAAATGACTTATCGAAGACAATATAAGTAACAGAACTGGGATTTGAACCCAGGTCCTCTGGTGTTGAGTCCAGCAGTCTTTGCTGTTGAGGCAGCAAGGTGGCACAGTGGATAGAGCGCTGGGCCTGGCGTCAGGATACTACTGTCCAGCCTTGGATGCTCAGTAGCTACGTGACCCTGGGCAAGTCACTTAACCTCTGTTTGCCTAAGTTTCCTCATCTGAAAAATGGGGATAATAATAGCACCTACCTCCCAGGGCTATTATAAGGATCAAATGAAATATTTCTAAAGAGCTTGGCACAGTGCCTGGACCATAGTAAGTGCTATATAAATGTTAGTGATGATGATGATGATGATGATGTTGACATCCCCTCATGCCCCTTAAAAACCCAGTGCTACATTCTGACTTGGTAGTAAAATTCCATTGTACTAACCTTTTCAACAAGGAAGTTCTCTTGTATTTTTAGCCTAAATATCTCCTGTTGTAATCTCTCTTTCTGCATGAATGCAGACATGTGTGAGATCTCTGTTGCAAATCTAAGAGTTAACTTGGCATAATGGGGGAAAATAACCCCCACTAGATTTGGAGTCAGAGGACCTAGGTGTGAAACCCAGATCTGAGTCTTTCTTAATTAACTAACTTACTTAATGTTTGGGAATCACTTAGCCTCTCTTGTCCTCTATTTCCTTCCTTCCTTCTAAAATGAAGACGTTGCACGAGGTGATCTTGAAGGGCTCTTGCAGCTCTAGGTCCTACAATCCTAAGAGTTAATGGACAATAACATGGCAGTGAATGTGGGGCCCTGTTCTGGTACCATTGGAAGAAACAAAACCTGAAATATCCCGCCACCCACCACCACTGCACTCCTGGCAATAGGCAGCTCCCAAATCCAACTTTCCGTCTTCTTGATGTTTGTTTGGTCAGGTTTTTGTGTGTTTTTCAATCTGTGGTTAGCACTTCCAAGTAGAATTTGAAAGAAGGCCAGCTCTGAGACTCAGGGGTGCGTGTGGTGGTGAGGGGAGTGGGGAATGGAGGGAATTGCTCTGTGGCTCCACTTCAATGGGGAAGTCATTGTTGAGTTCTTAGGTATTGTTGTTAGTGCTTCTTGGCTTCTTCGGAAGAAGATCCTATTTGAAAACCAAAAAACAGGAAAAATAAA